CAAATTATTTTCAATCACCCTCTAAGAGATTATGCACATCATTGCATTTCACTCCCACATGGGGTGGCGGTAGGACAGGGGGAGTATGGATAGAGGGTTGACAACCAGCTCTCCCACCACTGTAGATACAATCTTATGGAGTTAGAAAATAACCTAAGCAATGTCTATCAAATTTAGGTACTTACCTCTGTGGCAACGATCCCTCTTCTAGAAATTGCCTGGATGGGTCCATTCAAGACTGACCACTGCAGCTTTGTAATAACAAAGGACTGAAATCAACCTAAATGCCTTCCATAAGGAAATGAGGTAGATAAATTAAGCTATCCTTATTATATTATACCAGGCAAACAGTAAAATAGATTTATATGTGTATATAAGTAAATATATATGTGTATAAATTAAGTAGATTTACACGAAAATCTCTAAAATGTATTTTTAAGAGCAAAGCAAATGAAATAGTGTATATAATATATTCCTGTTTACAGGAGAGACAGAGGGAGCATAGAATTGTTTTTAAGTGGTCAAACGAAGATCCTTGTACTTGCTAGACACATGGTAGACCTGCGAGCTCCACCCCCAGCCAGAAAACTTTTAAATAATACACAAATGCTGTTATGGTAGTTGCCTGCAGATTGAGAAGTAGGTGGCCTGCAATAAAGGAAGACTTATTTTTATCATATTCCTATTTTAGCATATGTACATGTGCTGTTTGTTCACCCAGATGAAGGAAGAAGAAAAAGCGGAAGAAAAAGAAGAAGCCAGTCTAGAAACAAAACTGCCGGGTTTAACTACATTTCTCAACTCCATCTACATCGCTACTTCCCAGTCTTTCTCCTATTTTCTTCCCCCACAGGGGCAGAACCCACTTAAACCTCAGTTTCCACTGCAGTCGCATCCCCTGAGGACACCTCCCCTCCTCATGGTGAGGACCAACACCTCCCTTTCATGCCCAGCCACAGAAGCTTCAAGGGTCCCCCACACAAGGACCTCAAATGCTTGGAGCAGGGGAGTTGCCCCAGGCAGAGCCCTGTGAGAAAGCCAAGGGGCTTGGTTTCCTATTAAGTCCCTTGAAGGAGTGGCAGTTAAACACTAAGCTTCAAAGAGTTTAGGATTTTCAAAAATCGCTTTTGGGGAATAAGCAGCTTTTTATTGGAGGTGTCAGACATTAATGAGAGCTCTGGATCTTTCCCAGCCTATGGAGCATTCTCTCCCTCCTTCTCCGCCCCCACTCTTTCCAGCAACCAGCAAGGCCCCCTTTGATGAATCAAGACAGGCCAAGTGTTCAGGAGCATTCCTGTCCCACTTCTAAGCCCACCCCACCCGCTTCACTTCAGAAGCTGAGGACCCATGGGGAGGGCAGTGGGAAGCCAAAGGCAGGGCTGGGGAGCAGGCTCCGACACAAGCCAATAGGCCAGTCCTGCTTACCTGTTCCTCTGGGAAAGAATGAACAGTTCTGAGGCCCTGCTCTGTGCCAGCTCCACACACCATCACTCTCTCTGTAAAGCAATTGCGCTCTTAGATGTACTGAGATCCTTAAACAGAAAGAGTCGTAGAAGCACCATTTTGTCCAACTAAGTCATTACAAATGAGCTTTTTTTGACCACATTTCTAATGGTTGTTTATTTTCCTGTCTTTGCAGGTAGCTAGCGAGCTTGAAAGGTAAGCAACATATCCAGTATAGAAGGGCATCTTTCAGCCCAACTGGAATAGACAAAATACTAAAAACAATTTATAGAACAAATACATTCATGTATGCATGCATGCATGAATAACTCTGCTTTACCTGCATCTTTATTTATAAAATAAAAAATATGCATACTGGTTCATTTCTCCCAAGGGTCAGGTAGATCTTAACATCAAAGCAACACTGGAAGAAAGTTGATTTGTTAACTTCCGAATACCAACAAAGATGCCCCACCACACATCAGCCTTGAGACAGAGTTCTATTCATTCCCCATCACTCTGTTTTATCTCTGATCACTTGTCCCTTTCCTAAAGTCTCTTTTTTCCAATTGCTGAGACCAGTGGCCCTACCTACCCCTTCCCAAAGAGAGCCCCTTGTCTGTATCCTAGAGTTTGGCCCTTGGCAGCTAGTTCAGGAGCCCAGGGGTGACCCTCTGAAGCTCTTCAGGTTCTCATTAGAGAGCAATATCCAATGTCCTTGTTAGCCTAGAAGCAAGCTCATCAACATGTTGAGCTCTAGTATTTTTTTTTCTCAGCGCCCACAGTATGGTTCTCAGGAGAGGGAGGACTACTTTTCCTCTTAGCTTGTCTCTGACTCTGCCCCCTATAAAACAATAACCCCGCATTAGCTCACTTAAGAAGCATCACCCATTCCTGAGAATGGCTTAGAGCAGAAGCATCACCAGGTTCATTGTTAAGTGTTTTAGTGGCTGGAGTGACTAATTGGATGCATGCTAATTCTTAATATCCCTTTGAAAGAAGGTGGGGAGGCTGCCAGGTAGCTCATTCTGCCATAATAAGACATGTCCTTTAGAATGGTCCCTCAGTTTAGACCTTCTCTGGGAGGAGGAAGGAGAGTAAGCTGTTCTCAAGATATCCCATCAGAAAGCTATCCAAACTGTCTTACCCCCCACACTGACATTTGTGAGTGACTTGACCCGTTGTTAATCAAATGTGTTCATGCACATTATGTCTCCTAATCCAACCCCCGGGAAGTTGATAGCATTGTTATCTCTATTGTCTAGCCAAGAAAATTCAAGTCTAGAGACTTGCCCAAGTCTTACAATTGATAAAAGGCCAAGTCAGGTCTACAACACAGGCTCCCTGACACTCCTGCTTTGGCCAGTTTACCTTTTAAAACATTTTTATATTTTCACATAGAAGCCATGTTGGTGCCACGAGTGCTACTGAGCCAGGTAAGAGTTATAAGCTGCTTTCCTCATCACCAGACAGGGCCAGAAGCCAGGGATGTTGAAGGTACAGAAAGCCAAATGACAGTATTTCTGATTCTCTTGGGCTTGGAAAGAAAATATGATGAGAAAAGAGGGCCCACTGCATTATAAGAGAGAGAGAGAAAGAGAGAGAGAGAAGGGGAAAGGAAGAGGGAAGAAGGAAAAGATTAACCAGCAAACAATTCTGTAAGGACTCTTGAAGATATCCCACATTTGGATATACAAACCACACACCCACACACACACACACACCATGCACAATTGTAGTAGAATGTAATGTGACGAGCGTAGGGTCTGATTGGCTTCCAGCTCTAACATTACTGACTTTGAAGCTATAAGGAAATCACCAGATCTTTCTGTCTCCATTTTTCCCCTGTAAAATGAGGGAATTAATGGTCATCCAAAGACCTCAAAAAGCTCAAAAAAATAAAAAGTTAATCCAGAGACTGGATTAAAGAAGGAAGAGGGGTATATGCACAATGAGAGATGGAAGCAGCCCTGCTGGAGAAGTATTTGAGAAACTCAGATAATGACCTAAGAAATCATATTGAACAAACCCTTCTCCAGCATTCACAGACCCCAGAAGAAAGTTCACATTCTTTTCTGCTTGGGATTTGGTCACCCAGCCCAGTTCCCTCCCTCTTAAGACTGTTCCATCCGCCACCATGCTAATGTGCCCTCCACACTTGGCCAGAGGACTCTCCCAGCTGCCTCTACTTGGTCAGGCTCTATATCTTCCCACCCAAGTTCCTGTGCAGAACCAAGCAACCACCTACAGACAAGCAGGCTGGAGACAGACCAGGGCCTGCTGGCCTCAGCTAGGCCTGACTATGGCATACTGTAGAAAGTGCAGCTGGGAGTGACAAAGCCCCACTTGGGGAGGTCAATGGAGGGTCTAGAGAATGGTAGCAAACCTATGCCACAAGTGTTATTTTTCTTTTTAAAAAATGATGTTAATGTTTGGGTTGCTTTTCTAAACTACAGTTGTTTTTTCTAACTCAGTATTTAGGTTTAATTGCAGTATTGTCACTTTCTGGTAAATCAGTAGGGTTTGAGTAGCAGTTTGGGCACTCGTCTCTAAAAGGTTCACCATCACTGGTCTAGACGAGGCATCACTCTAGAACTACGTTTTTTTGGGGGGTGGGGTACAGGGAATTGAAGTTGGGGCCTTGCGCTTGCCATGTAGGTACTGTGCCACTGAGCTACATTCCCAGCCCTAGAACTAAGATTTTAAAAGGCTCATATAGGGAAAGGGTCAGGCCCACTACACCCACTTTGGTGATCTATGTGAAGGCCATGGGCAAACTTGAGAGTCAGATAGTGAAATAGTTGCACAAAGAAGCTTAACTGAGTCTACAGCCAAAGGGAGATGCAGGCCGAGACTGAAATGCAGAAGCCACGAAGGGCCGGAGAAAGGAGCTTAACACGAAGGAGATGGACAGCGTGCAGCCACAGGTGCCCCGGACATCAATCCAGGTGACTCAGTCAGCAGCCCAAGCCGGAGGCGTGAGGAGCACCACTGGGCCGGAACAGACCGCTTTAGAAACAAGCGGGGGCGGTGAGCTGGGCATGAGGGAAACCGAGGCAGTGACATCAAGCAGGTCCCCGTGAGAAGCTCAGGTGTTCATGGGCCCCGCAGTTACTGTGTTCCCAGGGAATGTGCCCAGGGCAGCTTTGATCCCTGCAGCGCAGAGCATCACAGCAGCAGGCAGCCCTCACAGACCAGCTCTGTGCTCCTCGCTGCCTCTTTAAAATGGACCTACCCCCACCCTGCTCCTTTTTGTGCAACACCCCGGATTTTCTTCAGCCCCCGACTTGCCCAGGACACCCCCCCCCAACACTCCCTTTCTTATGCCAGCTGCTGAGATCAACTGCTCTGCACTCTCTGCCCTGACTCCGCAGAGGGGGAAGTAGCTCCATCCAAGCCCAGAAAGGCAGGAAACTCCCTGTGAAGGTTTCTCTTGTCAACCTAGGTTCCATCCCTGCCTGTGTGACCTGAGGCAATCAAATCACCTCTCTGTGCACTGTGACCCGAGGGAGGTAAGGAGGCCCCCCTCAGTCCCTATATTTTGGGATTCTTACTACCTGTGTGTATCAGCAGGCAGCATCTTCTGCATTCTGGACACCAACCCAAGGAACATTTGATGCAACTGAAATTCAGAGAGGTTAAAAAAATTATCCAAGATTGCACAGCAAGATAGCATCTGATACACTTAGTACCGTACAGTTTGTCTCAGGCTGGGCCCACACTGGGGTAAGAGACTACAGAGGACTATTCTAACACAGAAGCCCGGAGAAGCCCTGTTGGGTCAGCTGTCTAATATAGCTCAGAGTCCCCAAAGCCTAAGCCTTAGTACTGTTTTCCTCCACTATGGAAGAGCTCTCCAAACCTGGCTGTGTCTACGCCTGGGAACTGTTTGCTCACCTGTCTCCCACTTGGAAAAGCACAAGCCATGCAGCTTCCCCACTAGCAACAACTAAGAGGAGGGGACGCCTCCCCACCACACACACACTGTCCTCTGGGGAATTTCAGCCCTGCAAATACACTTCCAGCTCCTCATGCAGAACCTTGATCCTCGCAAGGAGTGACAGGCAAGGGCAAACCGGCCTAGCTCCAACTTCCTGCACAGCAGGCCCCACAGCCAGCCCAGAGCTTGGGGCAGAAGCCTGGGGCTGGGAAATCTTGGCCAGGCCCCCAGGCCTAATTCAGAAGAAAGTTGCCCCCACCAGCTTGGGCCCCAGCTTTCTCCTGTTAATTGAGATAATGACTCAACTTGCTGGACTGCTTCCAGCTTGAAAGGGGCTTTGTGATGCTGGGATGAAAGGAACCTGGGCTGAGTACAAAGGCTGGCTTGGGGGTGGGAGGTTGGCCCCAGGCCTTCCCCAGCCCCAGCTGAGTCACTTCCTCGCTGCTGGCTGGATTTCACCTTGAATCCAGGCATCCCTAACTCTCTCTCTCTCTGGGTCTGTTGTGTGCGTATGTGTATGTATGGAGGCGTCCAAGACAGTCTGAGACACAAGTTCAAATCTCAATTCACCACCAAGGTCCCTAAGCCAGGAGAGGAATGAAGTGCTGCTGTCCTTGCCTCAAAGAGAGGTGCTGTCCCACATCTATGGCTTCATGACACTCCTTTGACATGTCTGAGAGCATGGGAAGCCTCAGCCCTGACCAATCTTCGCTACACTTTAAGAAACTGAGGAACTAAGAGATGCACAGACTTCCTAAGGTCACATAACGCATCTGGGGAGAGCAGATCTCTAGCTTCTTCCCCAGACCTCAGTGGCCCCCTCATTTTTATGTGGCACTCGGACTGTGATCATCACTGTGCTGTGCTTTGGAAGGAAGAAGGACCATGTCTTGGCCTTCGAGGAATTTCTTCCACTGCTGGACTAGTATCTCCTTAGCATCTAGGAGGATCAGTAGGTCTTTTAGATTTAAAAAATAAAAAATAAAAAATAAAAAACCCGGGGGTTGAGCAACAGAATAAAGTCTTGTGAAGGTCAGAGGTAGGAGCTGCTCAGGAAAATGGTTTGTGGAATGACCCCTGCCAAAGACCAAACATTCTCCAGGACATTCTGTCACTGGTCTTCAGTTGGCATCACGAGACTGAGTTCCCCAAACCAGGTTTTGTGGGGTCTCTTGGAGGTGGCTCAGATCTTCTGCTTCCCAAGGAACTAGGGCTCCCATGAAACTTTCAGCCTTGAAGTTAATAGTAAGCCAGGGCTCACTCTGGGACAGGAAGTCATGGGAGACTTCCCACTGAGCAGAGAAGAACCACATGCGGCTAACCAGCCTGAGAGTGACATATGCCAAGGTGGACATCCCTACAGGCAGTGTGTGGGGTCAGGGGAGGAAGGACCAGCCACTTCCAAACACAGAAAGCTACTCACTGCTGCTTTGGGACCCAGACTCTCTCCTTTTCAGTTTTGAGGCCTTGGTCCCCAGTTTGAAGTCCACTATGTCATTCCTTAAACCAGCCAGACCTAGCTAGGTCCGCAATAAACTGCACTTAGTTCCTTCCTCTTCCTCTTGAATGAGTTTTCTCATTCCAGGACACCCACAAAACGGGAAAAACCAGTGTGACCCCCACAAAGTGGGGAGAACCAGTGGGCTGATTGCTTATGTGTGAAGTCTTAAGATAGCCCCTAGCTCATATCAAGCACTTCCACAGTACTTATTCCTGGTACTTCCAAATCTCTGCTTACTAGAAAGCAGTGGGAAGTGGTGTGAACCGTAAAGAGCTCTCCAAAGCAAGGGTGATTAAACCCCAGAACCGCAGCGTGAGGGAGATTGTGTAATACCTTTAAAACGGAGATGATGCTGGCTGATCATCTGTTTGAGGTGGCTTGGGTGGAGTCCGGTCTGGAGGCAGGAGGTTTGCAGCAATGACCTCTCAGGTCCACTTTGGGCTTGGGCAGATCTGAAGGATGCAGGGAGGGTACAGAAGGGAAGAAGAATGTGAGTGGCCCACCAGTTGTTTTTCCTATTTTTCTGGGCACAAGGCTCAGTTCTTCCTGGCACTAGTCCTTGCTGGGGCCCTGGCTCCAGCTTATTAGTTTTAACTGGAGCAATTTCCTTTGAACTCAGTTTGAATTAGCATCACCATGGCGATGGATCAGGGTTTTCACAAGTCGACCTGGTCTTTACCTCTTAAGCAATTAGTTCGAAGGAGAAAAGGAGGAGGAGAAGGAAAAGGAGGAGGGAAGATAAAGAGTAAGGGGAGAAAACAGGGAAGAGGGAGGGGGAGAGGAGGAGGAGAGAAAAAGGAAGATGAAAAGTAATGGAATTGGGGCAAGAGGAAGATGAGAAGGAGATGTGGTTATGAGAACGCTGGAGAGGAGGCAAGAGGAAGTGGATGGTGAAGGGAGAAGACTCAAAAATAAAGGAAGAGTATTCTGTCCATCTCACCAGGCTAAACCCAGGGACCCAGAACACCTGCAAGACTTTCCCTTCCCAGTCCTTCCCGCACTACCACCTACAGGGAGAAGCAAGAGAAGCAAGAGAGAACCGGGTATTCCACCTGCGGCAGCAAGGAAAGAACAGTTTTATCTATTTCTAGAGGGGAATGACGTTGGAGTTTCAATAGGAGGGGCATTAAATCTGTAAGTTGCTTTCAGAAGCATGGAAATTCTGACAGTATTAATTCTTCTCATCCATGAATACAAAATACTTGTCCATTTATTTGGGGCTTCTTTATTTCATCCATGTTTCCTAGTTTTCAATATGCCCTTCTTTTACTTCCTTGGTTAAATGTATTCCAAAGTATTTTTGTAGCTATTACAAAAGGGAGTTTTCTTTAATTTCTCTATATTTCTTTTTCACGTAACTCATTATAAGCACATAGAAATGCTACTAGTTTTTGTGTGCTGATTTTGTATACTGTAACTTTATTGTATTTATTAGCTCATACAATTTTTTGTGGATTCCTTCAGGCTCCTGTATATAAAATTATGTCATCAGAAGTGACAGTTTCGGGGCTGGGGATTTAGCTCAGCAGCACAGCGCCTGCCTGTCAAGTGCAAGGTCATGAGTTCAATTCCCAGTATCGGAAAAAAAAAAAAAAAAAAAAAAAAGAAGTAACAATTTCACTCTTCTTTCCTTATTAGAATGAGTTCTATTTTTCTTCTTTTGCCCGGATGCCCATCCCGTGCACGGTCACCCCCTAGGTGAGATGCCTATTTTCAGCCCTTCTGCAAGGAACAGGTAAGTAAGAGACAACAGCAGGGTCTTGCCAGGTACAGTGATACACATCTGTATGGCAGGCTACTTGGGATGCTGAGGCAGGAAGATCACAAATTTGAGGCCAGCCTGAACAATTTAGTGAGACCTTCTCTCAAAATAAAAAATAAAAAGGGCTGGGATGAAGTTCAGTGGTAGAGTGCCCCTGGGTTCAACACAATACAAAAGAGAAGGGAAGAGAAAAGAAAAAAGAGAAGAGAAGAGAAGAGAAGAGAAGAGAAGAGAAGAGAAGAAAAGAAAGAAAGAAGAAAAGAAAAGAAAAGAAAAGAAAAGAAAAGAAAAGAAAAGAAAAGAAAAGAAAAGAAAAGAAAAGAAAAGAAATAGCAGCTTGGAACCTGAGCACCGAAGAGGTGTGTCAGGCCCCCCTTGCCTTATGACTTTGGGCAAGCCACCAGCCTCTGTAAAATGGCAGTGATGGCTTCTCCCTTGGTTTGAGGCAGGGAAGGTAAAGGAAGAGGGTGGCCACACACAAGATGCCCCATCCCTTCAGAGAGCCAAGGGACAGATCCCACATGCCTCTGTGGGGATGTTGCTAGGCTGCCCGTCAGCTCTGTCACTTCTCTGGGAGCTCAGGAAGACAGCAACTAGGTCTTCATCGCTGTTGAATTCCCAGACTCTAGCAGTGTCTGGCACAAGTTACACAAACATTAGGCATTTTTTCAGATGAATTAATGAATGGATGAACAACTGCTATATTCCAAAAAGAAGATGATAATGGTATCAGAGTAGAGAAAGAGGAACAGCCAATCAGAAGCCACCAGAATTTAATGGAGGGAGGATTTGTCTTCGAGGTTCAGTCCATTCCTACCTCCTCCAGGAAACCCTCCTGGAAGAGTCACTCCCCTTTACACACCTTCCCCCTACACACCTCCCCAGTCACCCCTGTCACCATGCACTGTGATTGCTGATTTTCTCGCACATCTCCCAGCTAGGTGGACCCTCATGGGAGCAGTGACTATGTCTCTGATTGCCCAATTCTTTGCAGACTCCATGCAACAAGTCCACGCTCTGGCAATGTTCATGAACACACTCGTCTAAACCCATCATAGGGCCAGGTCTCTGACTCTCCCAGGCCAATGTAGGTAGCTCCAGGGAAACAGATGTATAAACCATGCAATGCAGCATGCCCAGTGGAAAACAGGCTGCAAGAGGGTGAGGCACAGGGAGCAGTGGCTACAGAGAGCCAGCTTATGTCTGCTGTGTCCAGAGCAGAGAAGAGGTGTCTCCTGACCACCACCCAGCACTCTGGCTGTTGAGAATGTGCAGCCTCCTGGCAGGGGGCCAGGTGGTGGCAGGAAGGCATGCAGACAGAAGGGAGACAGAGCATTCTACCTTCTGCACAGACTGAAAGAAGGGCCCCAGCTTGGAAAATATCACTGTTCCAGGACCAGCATGCTTTCTTTTGGTGCCTATGTGATTTCCTCCTGTCTCTCTGAGTCACACCACACCCACCCAGCAAACCCCCAGCAATGTGATAACCAAGAGAGAAGGCTGGGGGTTCAACTCCAGCCCCGCAATACTCCTAGCTAGGCTGGCGTCATGTTAGGTATTAGCAAGTTGCAAACTGTTTTGAGGTCTCTGTTTCGCTATCTGTGAAGCTCACGTAATGACAGCCCTGGCTTGCTTTCTTCTTGTTAAAAAATTTTTTTTCAAAACAAAACAGGAGAATAATAATAGCTAATACATTGTGTATTGTTATCTTCAAAGTAGTTACTCAGGCTACAGGATAAGGGCATCAAAAATTATCCAAGTGATATGAGCACAAATCTTTCCTTTCAATGAACTAAGAGAAACTAGTAGTATAACTATTTGTATTTTTTTTTCCTTTGCCCTTCCTTCTTTTCTCCTTTCCTCCATCCTAGTTCCTCTTTCCTTTTGAACAATTTCAGCTCATTTCACAATATCTATCGTACATGTTGGATAGTTTCTCACACCAGGGAGACAAGGCGATGTTTACGCATGTGGCCTGCTTTGGTTGTTGTGAGGATTAAGGGAGGTAATGCTTGCACTGCTCCCCAGCCCAGGAAAGAGCTGGTCAGCAATGGCTGTTACCACTTTTCAACCCCTATTGAGGCTTGTTCTCCCCACAAATAAAATGAAGTAAATTCTTTTCTTTGTTTTTTTTTTTGTTGTTGTTGTTGCTGTTTTTTTAGACAGGATCTTGTTATGTAGTTCTGGCTAGTTTTGAACTCACGATGTAGCCCAGGCTGGTCTCGAACTCGAAGCAAGCCTCCTGCCTCAGCCTCCCAAGTGCTGGGATAACAGCCCATGCACCACCACCCCTGGCTGTAAATCCTTTCTTTACCCCCACATTTCATCCATCCTTCTACCTCCAAATAAGTGGTCTTCCTTTCTCTTCTGAATATCTCTACACATGCGATGTCACTGTCTCCATTTGCCATAAGAATGCCCTCTGCTTGTCGCTGTCTTACCCCGTTTCTCCCCTTCAGCTCTTTTTCCATTTCTCCCTTTGCTTTTCTAACAGCTCTTGCAAGCCCTCACCCCTTCTTCCCCTGCCTCTTTCCCCCAGTCCTGCCTTTCGCCTTACTGTGGCTCCTTCCCTCCCCTTTCCTCCTCTGCTGCTTGTTATAAAAAAGAAATCTTTCTAAATACTTATGCCAAAAATGCACTCATCCCCCAAGGACCCCAGTCCAGCACAAAGGGCTGGTTCTTTCGGGCTGCTGCATGTGGCCTCCTTCTTGCCCACTGCCTTTGATTCGTGGCCTCATTCACATGACTGGAAGGGCTAACAAGGCATTTTCCCATGTGGCTGGGCAGGGAGGAGGCTGAGGGCTGAGGGCTGAGGGCCGAGGGCTGGAGGAAGAGACAAGCAGCCTAGAATCTTCCCAAAGTTTGGCTCATCCACAGGCAGAAAAACAAACTGCTTACTGATCTCATGAATAACTCCTTGGAGCCTAAAAGATTCCATCAGATTTACAGAAGAGATACAGGATAGAAGGACAGGCATGTTGGTGTACTTCTGTAATCCCAGTCTTCAGGAGGCTGAGAGAGAAGGATACAGGATAGAAGGACAGGCATGTTGGTGTACTTCTGTAATCCCAGTCTTCAGGAGGCTGAGAGAGAAGGATACAGGATAGAAGGACAGGCATGTTGGTGTACTTCTGTAATCCCAGTCTTCAGGAGGCTGAGACAGGAGGATCCTGAGTTCAAGGCCAGCCTGAGCTACACGATGAGACACTATCTCAAAAAGAAAAAAGATACAGCCTGGAAATCAGGAAGATTGTGGCATGGCCCTGTTGCAGAAGGGTGGGTCTCAAGGACACAGAGATGTGGCCTTCTTTCTGGACTGGGATCTCTGGCTTGTAGCCAGAGGAAAGGCTCTGTGATCCCAGAGAGACCCTCTGGAGGGAACGGCCCCTGGGATTCAGAGGGAGCCCAGTGCTCCTTGTGCTTGGGCCTCCTCCTGCCCCCACAACCTGCCTTGTGCTTGCTCTCTGACCAAGTTCCTGGGCCATGGGAGCACTGACCTGCACTACGTGCAGCTCCTCCCCTCGCAAGCTCAGATGACCTTGCTCTAGTTGAGTCCAGAGGAAAACAACCCTAGGGGCTGGGGGAAGGGAGCCGAGGCCAAGGAGAGGTGCAGTCACAGCCTCCAGTCCATGGTGCAGAGCAGCCTTGTTGTGGGGCTGGAGGACAGGTGCCCAGGCCAAAGGACAGCTC